CCGTAGGCCATATGGATGTATAAAATGAAGTGTCAAAATCATAAGAGGTAGCGACTCTCAGATGTTTTTAATTTTAATTATCGTCAATGAAAAAGCACACTAAGGTAGAGCAGAGCATACACATTTCCCTCAAAAGATTTCGCTGCAAATTGAACTCAGAGTATGAAATTACAAGCGAAACGCCAAAGCTCTGTGAAAAATCTATAGGCAAGGATGGTATGTCGCGGGTAACAAAGCTCGCTCGGTCTCGGCAAAGCGGCCCTCGAGTGTCAAGTGATGTGAGCCTTTGTCGAGCTTGCGGCGGCGGCGGGAGCGCGGGTAAGCCCCTCGTCGACAACGTCACTCGCAGATATGCGCTTTCCCTCGCCGATTTACATGCAGACACTTTTTATGCCACTACTCGTCATCAATTAATTAATTTTTTGGACTGGATGAACATAGGAAATAAATAAACGCTGCTAAATGTCTGTTTAACGAGACGTCGGTGGCTCAGTGGTCAAGCACTTGACTTGCAATCTGCAGGTCCTGGGTTCGAATCCCGCCATGTACCAATGTGTTTTTCGATTTCCGATTTACATATGTACATTTATCCGACGTTCTTACGGTGAAGGAAAACATCGTGATGCAACCTGCACATATCTGAGAAGAAATTCAAAGATATGTGTGAAGTCAACCAACCCGCACTTGGCCAGCGTGGTTGACTATGGCCTAATCACCCTTAACTTAGGATAGGCTCCGAGCCCCTCGGTGGGGACGACGTATAGTGAGCTGATGATGATGAAATGTCTGTTAATCATATGTGCAAAAAACTTGAAAGACATCAAATTAGGTATTTATAAATTTTAATAGCTATTATTAATTAACATTATTAAAAACAAGCGTCTGGCTTTCGACAACTAGAATGAAGTCATTAAAAGAGATATAAAAAAAAACGGACCAATCAATATGGTAATATAAAACAGCTATTAATGTAGTTTACAATACAAGCCAATCTAGTTCATATACCAATCATATAAAGCTTTAATTGATTGGATACTTACAATGATTGTCTAGTCATCTAGACAACTATCAAATGATACCGCCCTTATGTAGTGCTAATCTATGTTTTATTTCTAAACGTTTAAGGCATAAATTAGTTTGCAACTAGATGTCGTGAAACCAGGCAATAGAAACTCGAGTGAGTAACGACCTTTAAAGCAATTTATGCTTAAGTAACACGTAAACAAACGATCGAGGGCGATAATATGGCGTGAAGTGGCACCGGGGAACTGTTATGATAACATTATAGAGCACTAATGTGCACCCACGAAGGACCACCGGCACAGGCTTCGTGCCTAAATACTATGACTTTATGAACAATGAGGTTATAAAGTCAACAGATGAATTATAGCTTCGATAAATGCATTAACGTTACATTTAAATAAGGGGTTAACTTACTTTGTAAATAAACAAGTTGAACGCTCTAACAAAACAATTATATATTTAACAAATAGTAAATTTTCATGACCAGAATTGGTATTAACATCAAATTCTAAGGTTTACTGGATCGCAATTATACCGGATTTAATTTTAATTTTTTTTAATTCTAGTTATTTACTTAGCGGTCGGTTATTTTGCATTCATCTTGCAAACAGAATATGGGACACATCGGTGGAAATTGTAATTAAGTGTTCTTATTGAGAGATACTTACTTCTGGTCGAAGCTGTACTGAGAGTTGAGGACTGTGAACATCTTCTCGTAGAGGATGCCGAAAAAGTCGTCCATCATCTTGTCGAAGTTCGTATCCCCGCGCGTATAGTAACTGCAACAAATAATGCACATGAAGACAGTTTCTCTTTTATCCTCCATATTTAATGGCATTCCTCTTCTCAGGGTGCTGGAATACCTATGTTACTCTTACTATGGGTCCCCATTGTCTTTTTTAATCTACAAAATTATTGAACTGACCAACGTTAAACTGAATAAAATGCTTTGTACTTATCCAAGCAAGCCCTAAGTTTTACTAATGAACGGATTAAATATGCACCTATCAGTGTTTTCAGGGGTTGACTAACAGTTTGCGCGGAGCTAGAACTTCTGTTGTATTATTAATTTTTAAAACAGTAAACAAAAATACATAGTTGGTATTTGCAGGTTTGTTTTAACGGGCTTTGTTGTTTTAGCGAGTGCGAAGAATAAAGTGCGTAACAAGGGAGCGTTGATGTTGGCTGTCGGGGGTGTTAGGGGGTGCGAGGGGGTCCCAGCACCCCGAGGGTGCAATCAGGGGCGCGGGTCTCACCATCAGTAATTGCAACCGGATTTGTTCACAGAAAATATACTTTTTAATTACACAAGTGTCAACTACGCTTTAGTGATGCGACAAAATTAAATAGATCGTTTTAAATCACTTTAAAATAATTCTGACTTCACGACACGGTAGTGGAGTTCTACGGTTGGAAGCACGAAATTATTAAACGAAAAATAATTTGGTAGCGTTTGTAATTTAGCATACTGGTAACACTTACTTCTGTAGCTGCTCGAATAATTGTTCGAATACATATGAGTGTTGCTCGTAGATCATACCATACGTGCGCTTAAACATGTTGTGAAACTCTTCTCTTGACACTTTCAAAAGCTTTCGAAAGAATTCTGCAACAAAAGAAAAGTAAATTAAATATTTAATATAAGATCAGACAACTTGATCGACTAATAAACTTTCAAGAATTAAAATCGTAAGTTTAAATGTAATAGAAATCCTAAACAAAGAATAATCAATAGTGTAAAATAAAATCATATAGGCTATATGTACTATTTGTTAGACTCATCTTGGTCGAGATGTTTCGGATTTACTTATTTATAAAAATAACTATGACTCAGATAAAGCTCAGTCGACTGGATGAGTAATGTTAAATCGTACGAAACACGCTCTGCCGTCGCCAATTTGTAAAATCGTATTATATCAACGGCTTCACTTTAGATATAAATCAAGCAAAAAAAAAATTACACAAATAGTCGATATCTGTTAGTACGTCTTTTGTCTTATTTACTCTTCTTTTTACTTCGCATAGGCTGAAATGAAAAGTAATTATTTCGTATCGAAATTTAAAAAAAAATGTCGAGTATTCGATACAGAAGCGCATATCGCCACAATTCAGTCGCGTGCTGCCACGGGCTAATGCACGCGAAGTTAAGTTCGTATCAGTGGTACACTGAGAGGATGGTAGTAATTAAATTTTTTATTAAATTTAATTTTTTATTACTGATGTTTTTTTTAGTTGCATTTGACAAGAAGAATTTTTTAAATGAATGTCAAGGGATAGGTAAAGCAAGAGATGGACTGTGGAGAAGGTGATATGATTAAGAAGAGGTTTCATTATGAAACCATACAAAAACGGTATATGTTCTTACACGAATGTCTCGACTTTGGAAAACTAAGATAATAATTATAAAATAGAAACTTTAATCTGCTGAGTGTGTCCCGGACTTTAACAATGATTGTACTGCATGTAGCAGAATCAAGTCGTGAGTCAATCAACTTGAGGACATAATTCGAGTGAACTCTCTCACCATTCACCATCGATCGCGCGCTATAATTATTGAATCACTCAAGAGTGATTACCTCAAGGGTTACCAGGAAATATTTACTTATGTTGACCTATATACATAAACTAATCACGACTCGTATTAAAATATCTAGAAAATTGTACATCTTAAATGTCTACAATATTATTACAACTTCGAAATCATGGTAAAAAAGCCCAAACGTTCAAAATACCTGGAACACTGTTGTTTTTTATATCATAAGGTGGCAAACGAGTGAGCGGCCACCTGAAAAACGCTGAAATATCGAAGTAACCGTTGCCCATAGACATACGCAATTGCATATGCGTTGCCTACCTTTAATCGACGGAGGAGAGGGATGCACAGAAAGAAATTTTCCCTTTCCATGCATCCCCTTATCCGGTAAGTCCACTTCCACTTCCCATCTTTTCCTTATAAGAAAAAGGGTTGGAAGGGAAAGAGGACTAAATTAGGCCTCCGAGACGCACACTCAGAAGACGAAACGCGGAATTGCTTCCACTTCACACCTCTCTTCTGTGTGGTCGTGGTATTTCACCGGGCGAACCGGACCAATTCGAAAAGTTTATTAAAAGAAAAACAGTTTATAAACATATAAATCATTTAAAATTATTTTACAAATATTGTATTAATATTAAATATATGTTATATTCGACATTGAATCTGTAAGTGGGCGAGGCATTTCGTTTTGTGATGAGAGAATCATTGGATATAGTAACCGCAGAGTGACCGCACACCGATCCATTCATGCGGTTCTCGAAATTAAATAGCGGCACAAAGATATTGTTGCGAACGTTTACATTATTCTCAATGATTCTTGGCATCGTTCGTAGCGCAATTTTAATAATAAACAAGTGAGGAAAATCGAATTCGGAAAATTATTCGCATTAATTAATTGCGGGAAGACTATTCGTGGTAACCGTGAATTTCAATGTAACATGTAAAGGAACATATTGTTATCTCTGCTTTTTTAAAGAGGATGAGCAGGATGGCAATAGAGGTAACCGATAGTATATGTTGAGTTTGTTTCTTGTAAGTAGAAGTGCCGACACGTAAGATAAAAGCCACTGTGATATCGTCATCTGAGTCCTCAATTTTACTTAAATTAAAATATTAAAAAGTTTTAATGAAAAGCGACTCAGTGTGTTCTAAACTTTACGTAAGGTTGTTACTTTACAGGCGTCTACAATTAGCCCCGTAATTACACTTGTCAACGACGATCTATCCGCCTATTAGGTGCCATGAATATGTTTAAAGTGTATAACGAAAAGTAATCAAAAAGGTTATGAGAAAAACTTGAGTAAATAGTAAGATGGCATATTAGAGAGAAAAAAGAAAATATATACTAATACAACAGTTATGCGTATAGTGCAGCCAGATTGGTAGATGTTCTTAAAAATAACTGAAATATGTAGTAATAGCATATGTTTGTGATGAGTAAATCGGAACGTTACGCAATATTTGTAACAAGGTCGTTACAATTAAAGCTAAAATGGAAATAGATTCAGTAGAAGGAATCCCTAGAAATACGATCTCAAGATAATTATGACATAAGAGTTCCTATCAAGCGAAATTGGAAATTAAATATTGTTGACTTTTTTATTTCACATTTTCACAGAAAAATATCGTTGAACATGTTTTTGATTACAATAATTATAACTGTCATCGTTTATATTCTGGCAGCTGGGTAAACGAGCTATAAAATATGTAACGAGGGTGTTAGCGGCTGCATTTCCGCCGCGGGTGCCACATGCGCGGCTCAATGCCATCACCTGTCTAGAAATAAACCTGGCTGAAAACAATATGCGAGATAAATATTTACATACAAATTCGAAATTCGATAGTCTTAAATTTATCGATAACATAATATGCACATCACTAAAATGATTTTAAATGTATTTAGGGTTGTCAATAACGATAAAATGAAACGAGTAACAAGCAAATGTTTTATTTCAATCGTTTTATTACATACATTTGTTACGGGTACAATTAGGACCTAACTTTATGATTATTTTAAAAACGGTGTTATGACTGATTTACATTGCGTCAGTTGTATGCCAGCTCTGATTTTGAGATCTACTGTCTTACTATATTGGTATAATGGAAACCAGGCATTGTACGCCATTAAATTAGTGTTATTTTATAAACGCAACAGTTTGCTAACACGCGTATAGTTTTACAGGCGCGCAGTAAATCACGACGCGGTTCCTATTTCCGACCTCCCTCAGTTCAAAATTAACGATATGGTCGGCTAAAAATATATACACATTTCGGGAGCAATAGATCTTAATGGCGGCTCATTTGTACCGCCGATTAGAATATATGAGTGATTTCGCTGTAATTCATTTTGGACGTCGGATGGTTTAAGCCTGACTTTTATAGATGTCGGTTTACACCAAGCAAGCTTTATTCAGGCACCGAATGTTTGGTGGAAAAAGATTTTTGATTTGACTAGAAAGTGACTTCTTTCTTTCTTCTTCTTGACTTCACAAATTAACTTTGAACGTCTGAAAACTATACAAGAATTAACGTACGACGGTTAAAAAGTATAAATGTTAATATTTAATAAATACAGGTATGGTATGTAGTCTGTCGATATCCGCAGTACAAGCTACATCAAAGGCATCAGCTTAGACGTGGTGTATAATTGCATCTGACAACGGGACCGAGAGGCGACGGCCCAAAGATGGCGCGATCACCGCCGGCCGCCGCCATCTTGCCCTCGACTCCGACACACAATCAATTATCACTCCGTAACCGATTCTAAGAAATGACCGCGGATAATTATCCAGGAATTAGGAGAGACTGGACCTTGGAGAATGCCTGTTAATTGTTACTAATTATGTGCGTTTTGATTTTATTAATTTGAGAAGAGGTTAGGTTGAGAAAATGGTATAACATATTAGTGTCACTTGACTAACTTTACAGCTAAAGTTTGATTTTTCAAAGTAAATATATAAAGAGATGTGTCAGGATCGCGCCAAATGGAGGTTCATGGTCTCTGCCTACTCAGTACCCAATAACCTGTTGTTATTTATGATTCTATATCATAAGTACGATATAAAATGAATTAACTACGCTTGTAGAGGTCGTAAATAGCTGTAAAAATCCGTGATCGCTCAATCAAGGTCCGTGGGAACGTTTGTCGGTTTTCACTCAGGAATGGACCTGCGCTCGGGGCTCGGCAGGATGGAAAGTGGCGGCGTCAATATTGGTACAGGTCGGCGGTCACTCGGCTCGCCTCTTACAAACTACGTTGACCAATTCATTCATCTTTATTAAATTCTTTAAGTCTTGGTAAGCGGCATGTTAAATAATATTCATTCTTAGTTTCTTAGATATTCCTAATTTAATTTAATTTTTAACTTAAACAAGAATAAAATTGTAAAAAGAAATAAAATGTTAGAACATTAATGCAGAAATATAATTCTTTATCTCCCGATGACATAATTCCTCGACATTCCTTATGCATGAAGCAATATGAATGAACAAGCTCATTGTACTAAGTTGCAAATTTTGTATCCTTCACATTGTAATTTTAAACTACTGTATGAGAACAAAATGGCTACTCAAAGTTATGACTGCGAATGCCTTTTGCATGACTTTAAAACGTTCGTCGAGTCTCAGAAGACTAAACAGTGTAAACCCCTACCACGAGTCGAACGAAAGAAAATATTCAAACAATTCGATTAATTTCGAATACTTCCTGCGTCGTGATTTACTTGCAGAATAATTCCCACAATTACTAAATATGTATAAGAAAATTTCGCATTTCCTTTACCTGTTTATTCAAATTAGTCTGGTAATAAATGTTTATTAATAGGGAATTAGAAAAAAAAAACTTTCCGTATAAAGTATAATACAAAAAAAAATTTGAGGTTAATTAATGTATGAAAAAATAAGAGCCTTATACATTCGTAGCGTTAATTATACATTCCAAAGATGTCATGTCTCACGAATACAAAAACGAATGGTCAATATTTATTACTGTGACATAAATAAATACAAATTTGGTTTGCGAATGTACAGTCAATGGCTGCGGAAGAAAAAAATATCACGCGCTCTTTCGCATGTCGTTACAATTCGACGAGCCGAAATGTAAACATCACTGACGCATAAATGAACACGTTAGAAACTTATTAGAGTACCTTTTCTAATTATGTACAAAAAAAAATGAACGTACACCAAACTGATTGTGTATCACTTTCCGCAATAGATTTCCGTACTTTATTGCTGTTTGCGATCATTGTTTACGTTGTAAATGTGAAACCACTAATAAGATCTATGAAAAAATTGCGTTCCTGCAAACATTGTCGTATGCAAATTGCGAAGAAAAAAATGTTAGGTTAGAGTATATTACGACGAATGTTATGACTTAAAAGTAATTAGCAACATTTTTATAACCTTTTTATTATGTATTCGATAATAAACAAACAAGCAAACAAAAAGGGCAGCATAGCGAGCAAGATCGCAGCCCACAAAAAGAGTCGATTGATTCGATAAAAAGTCGACTCGTTAAACAGGCATTCCTTAAGATAAATCCATCGGACGCGAGTGTAAAAGCTAATTATAACCGACTGACGGCGAACGAAGCTGCGTGTGAATGCAGTATGAAATTTTAATTACTTATATTCATACTTTTTTAGCTTTGGACTCGGTAACTTTATTTTGTGGTCTGGTTTCGTACGAGGCAAAAGCTTGGCCGGTTTTCTGCCACCAATAGGGATATCAATGTTCAGCATCAGTCCGATTACTAAATCTTTTAAAATTAATTTTATTATTTCTTTATAAAAAATAGATCTCTTTGATAAAGTAGAGGAAATACATGTATTATGTTAAATAATCATTTAACACCTTATTAGTTTCTTTGATTCGGGCGAGCGGACGTAATTAATGACCCAATTTTTATTTCGTTCCATCAAATAAAAACATAATTGGCGAGCAAATTACATTACTCGCTGTTGACTAAGTATATTGGAAGGAGGAAATTAAGCTACATTAAATTATCAGTTAAACGTCCAATTCTATTGAAACTCTGACTAAAATTTAATAGATAAGATAAAAATCTTTCATATTTTTTATGTAACAAAATAGGATGATGAATGTATGTACTTTTAGATCAAAGATCGATTAATGTTTGTTCTTTTGATTAACAATTAGTAATTTTTTACTGTCTAAATTGAACTTAAAACAAAGAGTTGTCTTTGCCTTTTTCTTTCTGTCTTCTAGTTTAACAGGTATTGAGTTTGCTCTTTAACCGAGCGACAATGGCAGTCAAAATATAGTAAAATAAATTATATTCGAGTGATAACTAGTAGTAGGGGACGGCAGTAACAGAGCGCTGTGAGTACGGGCCGAGAGTGCGCCGTTAGTGCCCAGACGGCCACTTGGTTACTGCTAATGTCCCGACAGACCATTGACAATGCTCCGCAATACAACTGTACTTATGTTATGTCTACAGAAGCTTGTCTATGGTTAGCTGTTTTGTTATTTTTAATTATTATCACAGACTTTATGATTTTATTTTTATGACTAAAATTATAGGATGATAGCGTGATTGTCATGTCACCTACATGCTTGTCTGAATGTCGATAAAATCTGTATGACAAAAACATTGAGTGAGATAACATGGGTATTTATGATAACGTGGTGTAGATGACTTACCATCGAACTTCCTTGCTCTGACAGAGAGTATGTCCGCCAGTTTGGCCAGCTCGCTACGCAGCGAGTCGGTCAGCTGTTGATGTGCGCGCTGCGTCAGCGCTACGTTTGCTTTGGGCCCGCAACAACCTTTGTTGAGGCAGAGACCACCCGCGTCTGTAAAGAAAACCATATTATGTTAAGGATGACTTCTGATTACAAGGATTAATACGCATTTCAATCTATCAAATGTTTATAATTTTGTCTACGTATGTTTCCAAATCTTCGGAGAAAAAAAAACAATACTGAGGAGACGAATCTTAAAAAAGTAAAATGAAAATAATGTAATACATTGTTCCTTATTTATTGGTTGTGTCACCTAAATCAATTGTTGTTTACATATTTTAGCTTGTTTGCATCAAAACATGTTACGTAAAGTGGTTTCGACCACCAGAGTCACATAAATTAATGTGCAAAGCAAGCATCGTTCGGGAGTGTTGGCTTCGGTCACCTCTGAAGCAATTTATCGACCGGTCGGGTCCCCAACTGCTGGCTTAATGCAATAACGCCTCGGGCTAGACGGATGTTTAAACTTATTTGGGCCCCCATCGATACACGATGAAGGTCGGACCCCAATGTACTTGGTACAGACTCCATCTAAATTAAGGCAAGATTTTCAATTTAAATAAGCGTTGTTTGACAGCATAGTCGACTGGCTTAAACAAAAACATAGCATTTTATTGTAGGCATCACTAATATTTAGACTATTATGAAATAGGGACTTTGATAGTTTAGTCAAAATTAATATATTATAATAGAAACATTCGTTAGTTTAATTACTAAGTTTTTATTCATAAAAGGTATTATACTATATTGATTTCAAATAATACAATTCAAAACTTCATTACAGAATGTATTTTGTGCTTTCAACCTCTGAGCCGGGATAAACAAGATTATGTGCTGTTTCATTTATTACGCACGATGTAATATGAACATTTATATAATGAGATAGAGTTCATTATGTCTTATTCGAAAAATAGTGAATTCAATTTAAATTTTTACTATGGTGCAATATTTGAAAGAAAGCGGATGATTGTTTTTAAATGTTCAATGCAAGAAGCAATAAATGTAAAATGTAATATAATATGAAATGTAATCCTTAATTACATATTCCGCATTATAAACGCGAAGCTTACCATTCTGGTGGTCTATTTCGAATATTTGTACGACATTTGCGAGGCCGTATTCGTTACATCATCAACAAAAATTGAATGAGATTTGTTGATTTACTTTACGACCGGTAGGCGTTCCACAAATTCCTCACTGGACTCCTTGGTCGTAGAACTTCACTGCCGTGACTTTTGTGTACTGTCATATATTAATATTAGTGTTACAGCAGTGGAATCCTACCGTGATGACGACAACATATCGACAAACAATAGAATGTCTAGATTATGACAATTACATGATTCTGTTTTGTAAGTCACTTCGATAACCTTTTAACGGACACTGTAAAGACGTACGCTGTCATTTGGGATCCTATCAATTCCTAGAAGGGGAGACGTTGAAAGTCTACATTCACTATCTGACGCTTAAAATAGCCAGTTGTCATTTATATTACATGTTGTATAATAATTTAGCTATTATCTAAAATTACTTGTTTACAAATCTACGTAACAACACGATTGAGGCAATTTCAAAGATGAACTTTCTTGTTTTGTGTAATACATTTCATTCATTTTTGCTAATTCATTTGAAACGCAGCTTACTTTATACCATAAAATTACATGGAAGTAGGGGCAAACGAGCTGCAGGTCACCTATTGCCAAGTATACTGACGCCTATTGAAATCTACAACACAAATTGCAGATGCATTGTCGAGCTTAAGAGCGAGGTCAGATCTCTTATGACTTGGGCCATACAACAAACGTGCGCATCCCTAAAGCATGGGGGCGATCGGCGTTGAATCCTATGCGATAATATGCGCCACCGCATCGTTTGACATTTCAATGTTCATAGCACTGCGCCGTTATCGAAGGGCGGGAGCAGAGGGCTCCCTTGTAAATGTTCATTCGATTCATACTTTGTCCCTGACCGAAGCAAACTAGGGAGAAATAAAGCCCTCTTCACTGCACATACGTTCATACAAGAGTCATTGAATTCTAAGATGCATTGACGAATAGTCAATACAAATCACGTAGGCTATTCTTTTGTGTTCTTATAGATTCGTGAGTAAAATTTAATTTAATCGATCATTTGTTTAACGTCGTGATAATGATTAGCATATTTATATGCGTATTCTTTGAAGTGGCAGAGTGATTGATTAACCTTTGTACAATTTATTTTAATGTTTTTTTTTACAGATTCTCAAGAACAAAGACTTTAAGTGACATTTACTAGCGTTGCGTAGCTTGTATATTTATTGTAACATTTTAATAAAATGTTATAATAAATATAGCTTTGAAGATTTTAAAATTTCTCATTTTAATAATATATTCTAATGCTTTGAACGTTAATACTCAACGGAGCGAATGACAGTAGTAAAATTTATTTTATGTATTACGTCGCTAAAATGTTTCTTTATATCTGAACTTTGACTTTTAAGAGACAGGACCTGTCAGGCACCGCTTTCCTCTCAATCAAATAAACACGAACCGGTTCTAAAATTGATTTCTTGTGCTCGTTTTGTCTATGTGTGTAAACTTTTGGCCTCGGTCCTCAAGACTAGTGTAGGATTTACTTAGTACAACGACACGTTGCCTAGTCCATTTCTCTAAATTCAAAGTAACTGAACATAGGTCGTTGTGATTTAGTTGATGTTCCGAATATAATTCGTGCAGCCCCCAACGTCTTTAATCTCTGTGATGCTGCTAAAATAAACAGTCTCCCTCCGACAGTGATGTTTGAACAACTCATATCCGTTGACTGGGTAGTGGCTTCGTTCGAGAACTTATCTCTGCCTAATAATAACGAAAAAAAGTTTTATAAAATACACAATAAATGTTACGGATCCGTGTCTATGCATTGAAAATATCTAAGAAAAACTCTTACATTATTATTTATGCCAAAGAACTCAAAACAACGACTATTACAATTTTTCTAAATTGATCAGTTTTGATTTGACATTTCTCATTAAAAAAAACATAACATTATGATCAATTATAAAACGTATAGACCGATAACGCGTTCTAAACGTACAGTTCAGTCTACTTTTACTTTAGATATTTCAGTTTCGAACAGCATTCATATTTCGCGTTTTAAAATATGTCAAGAAATCTCAACACATGTGAGCCTTTCAACGTTCATGCACCGTTTACAAAGCCGAGAAAGCTTTCACGAGAAACAGTTTATAGATTATTGGCTGGTTGAAGTGGTTTCTTTAAGTAAAAAAGCCGACAATATTCACTCGGAACGTGTTTTAAAGAGCCCACGTATACTTGAAATTATCTCGCAAATGTATCAGGTGGCAGTGAAGCTACTAAATTGTAAATTATTCTGTTGACAGTTATTTTATCGTAAAAATTTAATTACATTTTTATCTGTAACTTAATCGTTACGGAAATGACGTTTAACATAAAAAGGAATTTCTCCGCTCTAATAATAAGGGTCTGGACTTAATGTGGATGTCGTTTTCAAAATTAAAATGGATTTAAGGAAATTTTGCGAAACTATAAACAAAAGAATTTGTTATTGAAAAATTATTGAATTTGTTTTCAAATTTCTCTATTCACCATTTCATTACCATTATAAAATTTATTACGTTTATTTATAGTCGGAACTAGCGGATATCAAAATGAGACGTTAAAACGATTTAAATAAACTCCGGCCTCATATATTTAAGTCTTAGAAAAATGTACCATTTATATTAACTGGGTATATCCTGCCATACATCATACAAAACACGACAATTCAATTAACGTCATTTTCAAACAACTGGCAACATTACCTCGTTACCGCGATGATTAAAAGCGCGATATAATCTGTGCGAGCATATTTTACGCGCCATTTTATTTCAAAAGGGGCATTTTGTTTAACGTCGCTACGTAAATAAATACGTTCTGAAATGGATTATGAATGTGTTGCACTGCAGATTCAGGTTGAATGAACAACACTATTGCTTAAACGTTTAAAATATACGGTAAAATAAAAGTTATTTGTTTCTTCAGAAACCACAGATGTGATAAACAATTAGACAGACCAAAGCAGTGTAATAAATAATATTATACGTTTTGTATTACGTAAAGAACACTAAACTATTATTGATAATCCAATAAAAATTAAAAGCTGATTTTATACATACAAATGAAAGGGAAACTGGTGTAAATGACTAAAATACATGCACATAGCTACCGAGGCGTCAACATCCGTGAGGTAAAAAAACACTGAATGGTAATTTACGCATAGCTGTTGAATTGTGGTCACATATAACAACGTATAAAAAACATTTTTTGCGTTACGGAATATAATTTTATCATTGCAAACTTGCAAATTAATACAATAAAATATATATTAGATTCAACTTTATAGGTATTACTTTTGGTTAGTGTTGTTCAAAAGATTAGCTTCAGCCCATTTCAGTTTAGTAGATTTTTCCATTTTATAATATTATCAAGTAGTGTTAAGTTTATACTTCGTTTATACGACTGACATAATTAGAATATAAGGAATTAAAACAAAGCATTGTTGTTTATGATTAAAAACTTTCTTGAATATAATTTGTGTTAACAGTATATTAAGAAAGTTGATAGCTTGAATGCTCTTTAAACGAGAGTTGTAAACAAGTCTCGAGTGATTGCCCACTTCTAAGGATACCATTCGGTATTTATAATCTATGGTTTTATAAGAGGAACACAGATTAAAGAAAAAACTTTTGACAACAGTACTTTTAGTTAGTTTTAAAACGTGCAAAAGATTATTTATTTTTATTAATATTAAATTTTTATAATAAAATAAGCATCAATGTGGTGGTTACATTCATTCCTTGTCACCTTAAAGACTGTAGGAGAATGAAATTAATTTTTTTTTAACATTTTTAATATATTTTTTTTAATTTTATTCTATCATGTAAATATTATACTTAATAATTTGTACAATGTCTACGTATCTGCAATTTCCCTTAAAGCAAGTAGCGTAGCCTCTTATCGTCGTAAGTGAGGTAATCATTCTTTGCAGCGTTA